GTGGGGAGTCAAAAACTTTGTAGTGGCGAGCCTGAGCGCGAATATGAATATAATTCCGGGCGTATATCGGACAACCACCCAAGGTGCGACAAATCTAATGTGAGGTGAGGGTTTTGTAGCAAGCTAAATCAACTTCTGCAAGGTCGTTGCGCGAGTGAATAAATGCACTCCTACTACATTCGCTAAATTCCGTCACATTACATGAATTGTCTTCACAATTTCCTACACGAGAATTTGCAGAAACAAGAGAAATGCCATAACGATTTCACCAGAATCATTTTCAGAAATCGAATTACCAAACTATCCGCCAAACAAAAGTCGAACATTTTTCCCAATGATATGCAATTCTTATGTCGCAGATTTGCTAATAAATTGTGTTCAGAGATCTTCATGATAGAAGAAAGCGCTAATGCGAAGGATTTTTACAGCTTATGAACAAGACTGTTTTTAGTGCTTATGTCTACTTGCTCTTCTTAACACTGTGAAATACATGGTTATCTGAGACTTCACGTAAATGGAATAACGGTGTAGCAATGAGTAAGCGTGGATATAGAGAACCAAATACAGTAGTAGAACACAGCATTTTGGCACAAACACTTTCGAGCATGCCCAATGGTATTCAAGATAAGAGATGGCAGATCTCTATAAAGATTTTCACAACAATTGAGAAAAGGAAGATTAGCGGATATGTTTGGCTTCTGCATTAGTAGTTGGAATGGTGTAGAGAAAACTACGCGAAAATGAAAATTTTGCAATGCAATTTTCTAGATTTTCATGAAGAACTTGACTCACTAAAGCCATTTTAAAAAAGTATGATAATTAGCAGCAAAGTACCTGGCCCATCCCTAAAGTGAATGTGAATTCCTGATTTCGGGTACGACTCGAATCAAATTCTGTTCCATCCAGTAAAGTACCAGTGTAGTGCATATGCAGCACATCTCCTTTCCTTCAAAAAACCTCAATCAATTTCAAGAGGAACTTTGTTATTCCAAAAAACTTTTATGGCAAGGATTATTGGAAATGCAAGTGAAACTCACCTCGACTTCAGATCGCAGTTCTCCGCTCTCTTCTTGATGCCTATTTGGAGCTTGTCCACTTTCTTCTCCGTACAGAGGACATTGACAGTGTAAACAAACAGAACAGCTATGACTGCAGTCCTCATTTTATAATTCGACTGAACTATCTGCACAATCTTTCACATTAACGAAGTTTGGAGCAGGAAACGGCAGCAGATTTCGATGAAATGTCGTTTGATTACGCGGCATTGCAGTACAGGATTTTCGTCGCGGGACTGCAAAGCTTCGTGAACAGAAGCTAAGTCCGACTTTATGGCAAGTTCAGTAGAATTTGCAGCTTTGAACACATAAAATATGTCCCTAAGCTTTTAAAGGGGAGCGTTCCGGATGATTAGCAAAGTTTCTCTGAATATGCTGAGCTTTGGCCGCTGATCACAAGTGTAAACCGTTCTCTTTTCGTCGATAGATTTAGTACGATTATGAAGATCCACTAACGCTGAACTACGCTTTGAGTCAAAAAGATTAGTACTCGTACTCATAGTTATAGGCGAAATTTCGATCTTCTAATAAAGGAGTAAAAAAAAGGTTTTTGAACGAAT